AAACTACCTAGATTAGTAAAGAGAGGATCAGGGAAACTGGACGAAAACCTGATTGAGATGGGGTGATTGACCCAGAAGCTGAAGTACAATACTTGTAAATTTTTTTTTTATAATTATACAATCTAAATGATAGATAATACATTAAACGTCATTATTAAAAGTAATATTACTTTCCTTTTCGATGCTCGGTTATAAAACTGTTACAAATGCTATGTTACAAACACAGGAGTGACTGGAACGCTTATCGCTTGTGGAAAGGTGTGATTCATCTTGGGGGGGGGGGGGGGGGCAACCTCTGAAATCTATGCGTCACTACTAGCTGCCTTGGCGAGCTTCTCATTGTTTCATGCCAAAATCCCGGCTATTAGTATTACGGCTAAAATATTTATACAATTTTACTAACACTCAATTCGTCTTTAAAATATTGAAAATGCATTATTTTTGAAATTGTGTTTGGTCATCTGTGGATCCATCGATATCAGGACACCTCGTCACAGAATAATAATTATGAATCTATGAACTTAACAAATAATCAGAATAACCTTCGTTTTTCCAGGTCATCGTTTTTTTATCCAAACGCTTCCTAGCAGTCATTTCATTCCAATTTTGCACCACTAGTTTCCTTCACACCGGAGGAAGAGGGAAGGCGTTTGGCAAGTCCGGTCGGGAGCTTAGGGCCGGTTTCACCAACAGCCGAGTAAAGTTGAGAGTAGTTACCCGAGAGTAACCATTTACTCCAAGATAGTAACTCCCGAGTAGAATATGAGCGTTTCACCATGCTTCTAGAGGGTTATTTTACTCTAGAGTACATACCCTCCGATTTACTCCGCAAATCAGCTGAACACACAATATTTGAGAGTGATTCAAGAGGCTGTGAGCCATATAATAGTTTGTTCTGGCTGGGGACAAGCCACAAGTGGGCCGCAGCCTGGACAAGCTCTAAGCCCCCAACCGGTCTCCCAGCATGTGTGCTTGAGTAGTGCGTGTTAGTGTGTCTGTGTGTAAGGGAAAGTGATGGGACAAGGATAAAGCAAGAAAAATCGCGCGCGGTCCGTGGCTCGTTTGGTAGGGTACTGCTCCGGCATTCGCCTGGAACGGATCGGCGAAACCACAGAAAACTTCCGTTCAGAGCAGGCGACCGTTAGAATTCTCCTCCAGACAGAGACTGAATTCGACCCAGTGTAACAAGTGTTGAAAATCTTGCCTTCATCGCGATTCGAACCCTAGGACTTCCCAACCAGATGCACTGCACCGTGCCTGGCCAAACTTTGCGCTTTGGGACGCTCTAGCAATTATTCAGCAACACAATTAGCATTAAACGTTGCCAAAAAGCGGCTGCCACAGTGTTCTGACAACGAGTGTGTGCGCACGACAATGGACGAGCGTTTAGCGCACAAAATTAATTCGGCAGGTAATGGGTTAATCGGAGAAGCCACGGAAAACTACCGATCAGAGCAGCCGGCCGGTAGAATTCTCCTTCAGACAGCGACTGAATTCGACCTAGCTGACAAACTAGTGACGAAAATCCTGCCACCGTTGGGACTCGAACCAAGTAGAGGTCAGAGGAACTGCAGTGACATCAGTTGATGGCCTGAGCCATATCGCCCGGTGCAACAACTAATGTGATTACTTCCGTAAGGGTCGTGCATATTTTTATTGCAGGAGGTGGCGTGCTCTTCCCCCTGGATGGGGAGATACAGCGCCGACATAAGTCTGCTTGCGAGGTTTTCCCCAACCGGGTATCTCGCACCAGCGGGGCACCAGCCTGCTGGTCTTCCTGGGACTTAAACTTGTGTATCGAGTCGCTATGGGGAGAAGTTAATTTGGAGTTACATGTATGTCCAGAAGCAAAACAAAGGGCCATCTCAGCATTTGCTCGAGGATCAGGGAAACTGGACGAAAACCTGATCGAGATGAGTGTCATTGACCCAGAAGCTGAAGTACAATACTTGTTACAGATTCTTTACAATTATACAATCCAAATGATATATAATGCATTAAATGTCATTATAAAAATTAATACTACTTTCCTTTTGGAGTTGTGCAGCAGAAAAGATTTTACTTGGGACAAACTTGTGTATCGAATTTAATCGTTTAATGTCATCTGGCAAGGTATTGTAAAATAATGTACATGTATTGTGCGTGAATTTTTTGTAGTGAGCTGTTGATACTGTCACCTGCTGAATGTGATTACTACGCCGTGTTGTAGTTATAGACATCAGGAATATATTTGTTGAAAATATATTCCTGCCCTTAAGTAAGTAATTTTTGACAAAAACCTCTGATTCATTTTCCAAGAGGCAAGGTTATGGTAAACTACCTAGATTAATATAGAGAGGCTTACAAGAATCACGTGGTTGGGATTTGCTTATCTATTCGTACAATTCTTGTTTGTAATCTAAAAGTATGGGAGCTATAAGATGTATTTCCTCAGAATATTATGCCATATCTCAGGCGCGAATGAACGTACGCGAAATATACACAACGAGCAGTGTGTAGGCTGATTGAATTTGAAAGAATTCTGAAAACGTAGGATAATGAACTTAATTTAGTGTTCGATTCATTTAAATGGACGTTCCATTTAAGATTTGACTGAATTGAAAGACCTAAATATGTTATTACCTTAACATCAGTAATTGGTACACAGTTCATTCTCAGTGATGGGTAAAGCAGTTTATTTGAAATGGAAAACTGCTTTGAAACAGTTTTCTTTTCATTTACTATTAATTTGTTATTACGGAACCAATTTGAAAAACCTGATATTGTACTATTTAAGGTTTCTTTATTGCAAAGAATATTCGTATCATCCGCAAAGAGAACTGTTCTTCCGTTTATAATTGTCGAGGGGATAGCGTTTACATATAGTAAGAAGAGAATAGGGCCTAAAATCGATCCCTCTCGACTCCACATGCAATTGGCAAAGAATCAGAAACGTGTGTAGATAATGTTTCATTATTCCAGTATGTATTTCTACTCTTGAGATTGTTGTTTAAAGTACGAACATAACCAATCTAGAGCAATACCACAAATTCCATTCGAAATAAATTTTGAAAGTAAAATGTTATGAACAATGACGTCAAAAGCTTTTGAAAGATCTACAAATATTCCAATAGATGTTTCGTTTTGATCCATGAATGAGGCGACATCTTTAAGGAAAGAAAATATTGCTGTATCCGTAGATTTTGATTTTTGAAACCCATATTGACTGAATCTGAAAACACCTGGTTTACTAAGAAAGGTTTCCGTTCGTACGTAAAAAAAAGTATCTTTAAATTTTTTGAAAAACCCGACAAAAGAGAAATTGGCTGAAAATTTTGAATTTCATTTTTGTTGTCTTTTGTGAAAAGAGGCATAATTTTAGCTTTTTAGATTTAAAAATATCTGGATGCGTTCCGGTGCATAAGCATACATTAAATATGTGAGTTAACGGGTGTATAATCGCGGGCGCACAATCCTTTAACAAACAATTCGGAAATCCATCGAACCCAGCTGAATATTTATTTTTAAGTCTGCCGATTATTTTCGGAATGCCATTGGAAGAAGTTTCAGACGCGAACATCGTGTCTAAAATATTTGGGGAAACGTCTGATGTTGAATTTTGTGTCTGAAGACCCTTTCGATTTCAATTCAATCAATTTATGAAATTGATTTGATGGAAGGTAAACTTCCAACTGTCGTGTTGTCTTCTACTAATGTGTTTTCCTTTGTTTTAAATTGTTGTATAATGTACTGTATGGATATTTATGCATATTAATCTTATACCTGAGGATGAAGCCGCATTCGATCTCCGAAGCGTTGTGAAGAAAATGTGAAAAAAGAATCCGTCTTGTTAATCAATTTTTATCCTCGTTTAATGTGACTGTTTTCTACTAAATCTGATTGTCTAAAATTGAAATTTTGAATCCTTGATCAATCAAAATTAAAACATCTTAATCATTCGTATAAATTTCATAGTGTAGCCGAGATATTGTGATTAAAGATTCAGGAGGTACCAACCACAAAGTTTATGAAAAAAAAATTAAAATAATTAATCGTACACATATTTCTCCGGGATAAATTTCCAGATAACGCGAGTACAAAGAAGGAAAAATACTGTTTTTCACTTATGCTCTTTCAAGATTCAAAAAGGTGTGTCTTTCAAGATTAAAAAAAAAAAAAAAAAAAAAAAAAAAGAAAAAGATGTGTCGTGAATAGCATTTGGAAGACACGTTGTTGCGAATAAAACAAATTAGAAGCGATCATACGAATTGGTCAAGTGAAATGAAAATGACAAAGAATAGCTAATTTCTTTAAACGTTAGATGCAAATGTACATTTTTGAGTTTGCATAAAAATGTCAAACATCAATAATTAACAATATTTTTATTAATTCCCTTTGAATGTGATGTTATTGTTAACATGCTCTTTTGAACCCCTAGTTAAGGTAGAATATAAGCATTTTTGTATGCGTATTTCAGTATAAAAAATGCCCTTTTGCAAGTCTATTTTAGTAAGAAGAAAGGCCTTCCTGTACGTCTATTTTAGTAAAAAATAAACTTTTTGCTTGCCTATTTTAGGTAAAATAAATGCCGGAACTTCCGGGCTCTACCAATCACTTCTAAAATTCGCTCTCTGAAGATGCATAAGGCGACTATACTTCAGTTTTTATAACAAGGCAAGTCAGGGCCAGTCTTGGCCATGGAATATCTCACGGCAATTCGCGTCTTTCTCAGTCGTGCCGCTAGAGACATCACAGTGCTTGATACTGCAGCACTCATGCGACATCTAGCGGCACGGCCGAGAAAGACGCGAAATGACGTGAGATATTCCATCGCCAAGACTGGCCCTGATGCGCCTTGTTATAAAAACGAAGTCGCAAATGCATCTATAGGCCACGTTATAAAAAAAACGAAGTATATTCTACTAATTAGCTGAACAGCTGAAAATGCGCAATGATACAGATACTCTGCGGCTTGCATCCTCATTCTATCTACCCAAGCGGTCATCAATTTAGAGCGACCAATGAACGCGCTGAGTTCACTCGTCACAAAGGCGTTGGCCAAGAGTCCCTCCACGGACAACGCGGTCAGGAAACACGTGTTTTCTGTGCTGCTTCAGCCTGGCGCAGTTCTGTCTAAACCTCCCGGCTGTTCGGAGTGCTGGTTGAGGGAGAGGCGGCCATTCTCCTGCGATCACCTGGAAACTTGTCATCGTCTTAGAAGGGTAGTCGAGTCAGTTCCGTGAGTAGCGTGGTGTTTAATGATATTTAAACTTCTGTGCCATTATTTGCGTAGAATAAATTTCTTGTGCGTATTGACTATTTAATTTTATTTTTCTACTGGCGGTCATTATTTAAATCATAATAAAGACTACGTCAAAAAATACAAGAAATCGAATCAGATTACGCAAAGTATTGGAGTTTATGTAATTTCTTGTGTGCTTTCTCATGTAAAGCCCTGATTAAGATCTGAATGAGAACCAAAACATTGGTCATTGAAATATGAAATTAATATTGCCAATTCGCAAGAACAGTCTTATTCTGTAGTGGTTTTTAAAGCACAAATGTTTGCATGTCATTTGGAAATCAGTAGAGTTATACAGTTTAGTCCTAGTGTTAAGATGCTAGTACTAATGCTAGGAGTGACAACAAAAATTATGCTGTTACCCATTAGTTACGTAAATTTATTTGTCACTGTCAATATATTCTAGTCCAGAAGAGTATCAGTAATCCGAATTTCGGTTAATTCGAACAAAATTCGAGGTGGAAGAAAAGTACAATGCCTATTTGTCTTTGTAAGTACGAAGAAAGGATTTTGATTACTGTAGAACTGAACAACTAAATATTGAAACACAAGATGTCGAAATGAAACGTTTATTGCATTGGTAATTACGGTGTATATCACATTTTTATGTTGCAGTAATTTTCACTTTCAGAAGAACTTGAAAAAAATCGGTAATCTTCTGAATTAAAAAAAAAAAATCGTCCGTAAGGAACTGAATATAGTTAATGATGCGATAGCTACGCTACGTTGCCGTTTTATCACATCGCATGCTACGTTGCATTGTCTGGTAATCCTATAGATGTATGGACGGTACATTTTTCTCGGATAATCTGAATAGACTACGCTCCGACATAGATCGGATTACCATTGTTCTACGGTAACTTCGATAACATTCATGATTATTTTGTCCTTGATTATGCGTAACAGATGAAGTCCAGTAGTTACTCGAAATAAGTTTAAAAAAAACTTTCGGGCACTTGTTTGGTATTATTTTGCTACTTGTCCTGAAGTTAGAGCGTAAAAACACTGCGCGGGTATGTCCCTTAAGGCCGCGAACGGGAAAGCTGAAAAACGGACATTTCAGGCAGGCGTTCAAGTGACAGAAACACGAATCGTGTCTGGAATGGGTGGGATGGTCAATATTTATCTTGGCCCGGGAACGGGAAGCCTTTCGGCCAGTGCAGCAAATAGCGATGTTTTCCAGCTGATCGAGCTTGTGACACTGGTCTGGAGCCAAGCGTAGTCACAGAATAGACACTCCAAATACTTATTATACTAATATATATTATATTTTCTGTGGCGAAGTTGTGTTGTGCGATATTGAAGTTAGAGCGTCGACTTGGGAAGTTAGGGTTTGAGGCAGGTTTTGTTAGTCATTGTTGACGTCATATTGTTAGTCATCTGTTGTGTGCTTGACATTGTTTCAATAATGTTTAGTAACTATAGTTTAATTATTTCTCTATTCACATTGATACCTTGAAATAAAATTCCTCCCAAAACATTTTTTTTATATATTTCGTTAAAGTATATCGTTGCTAACAAATCAAACTATTGCATTTAAAGTCGTTTGCGTGTAAATTGTCGACAATGAAATGCACCTTTTTTTATGGAGGCAAGCTTCTATTCAATTGCTTCCATTTAAAATTTAAATGGCTAGAGTTGTTTGTTTTGTTGATAAAATTTTAGTTAGTGGTATTTTCTATAAGTTCGTAGTAGTTTTTGATTTTGTCATTCTCAAATAGCGAATCAAGAAACGAACAGAACAGCATAACTACAGTACAGGCAGTTTGTAAACGACTGACAGTTCAATGCGCTGTTGCCACACATTACTACGCACATGACATCACAGATAAATTAAATCTAAAATCATTGACGCTCACTGACAGGCTATGACGCTTTCGCCACAGCCGAACCTCATCGCCTCCACGACTCCGTGCGAATCAGATGAGCGGCAACGCTGAGCCTTGGTTGTGAGAAAGTAAACAAATCCTCGCGAGCTGATTGCTTCAGAGCAGGTCACATGACGTACCACAGCACGCGAGAGTGCTGCGGTATAAAACGATTTTCTTAGGAACGGGATAAAGTGACAGTTCGCGAAAAAAGTGAACATCACGTGTACTTCAGAGAAGTAAACACGTGCACCGTCACGAGTACGCATCTCACATTCAAGACTCGATTTTAAAACAAACATAATACTAGTCACATAAAAACTAAATTCAATGTAATTTTTATAAAAAGAAATAATTTTTACAGAAGACCACAAAGCTCTGCACTTCCTAATTTCAATTATTTCTCGTGGCGCACTATATTTTCGTCGAACGAGGACATCACAGCCAGGGATCGTCTTAACTATTTTCAAGTTAGCCAACTGCAAACGAACGAATGGAGGAAGGAGAGTCTAATAAGTTCAAGGACACAACGACCACAGAATAGTCAGTTGTGTTGCCAGCACTAGCTGTCAAATCATCCCATTCTAAAGAAAATCGGACAATAACACAGTGGGGAGAGAATTGTCAGTCGCTTTGACTCCGCCGGTACTGTAGAAATGCGTTGGTTTCGGCAACTGTTTCTTGAAGTTCTCTTTTTTAACCGCTACAGGTTCATAGCGCCATTCGTTTTCCCCGTTGACGATAAAGGCCCATTCACAATGCAAACATAAACATAAGCATTAGCATGGTGTTGGACATAAAAGTTAAGGCTACGTCTATAAGCGGACTCATTCACAATGCGTTCGCAGGAACTCGTAAGATGTTAACTTAAAAGCTTCAAACTTCTGTGTTTATGTTTAAGTAATAAGAAAATATACCATAAAAAATTAACCAATCACAGTACATTAACTCAAAATCAAATATCGAAGCCGATAGACGAACTAACACCATGGGCCATGGACACAGCCGATACCTCGAAATCCATTTTCACAGCCAACAAATATTAAAACACACAGCCAATACAAACTTATTTTGCTTACGTTTATGTTAGACATTGTGAATACATCAGTTTACCACTTATGTTAATGTTTAAGTCTATGCATTATGCTTATATTTACGTTTGCATTGTGGATGGGCCTTTAACCTGCCTCCGCTCACGATTATCCTCCCGAAGCCGTGTGGTCGGCGAACGATAACAAAGACTGTCAGATAATCACCATCAGGCAAAGGTTACAGTCGACTAAAATAAAAATAGCAAATATTACAATAAAAAATGTTAATATGATGTACCAGTCCAACTCCCTGGAAAACATATTCTGCTTAACAGGAAAGAAATAAACAATTTTGTTTTCAAATGTCTTATTGGAACGAGTGCGTTGCATTCTGTAGTTTGGATGTGCTTGGTTAAACTTACTTTAATTTTGGGACAATAAACACTTTTAAATCCGTGTTTGCCCGATGATTGTTCCAGTGCAGAGGTAGGGTTGCAATGTCTTCAAGAACGCAATATGGTAAACAAACGAAGAAAATAATGAAATAACTATGTAGTGAATATTAGTAAGAAAAAATTGTACAATAGTGAAAAATTGCAGAGTTAGTGATTTTTGTGAGACATGCAAGATTTTTTCAAAGCTATTTTGAAAGCAATTGCACTAGATTTGCATCGTTGATAATCATTTGGTTTCTTGGTTAAGTTACATTTATTTTTTCAAACAGTTTGCCGACAAAATATTTCGGCTTAAATAACATTGAAAATTGCGCAATGAAGAGATCTTAAGTTGGCTTTCCCAAATCGCGGAGGGCAAAGGTCAGAACCCCGTTCCCAATTAGTAAGGCAACAAAAATTACTGCTCGTGTATATTTCGCGAATTTTCATTACTGGTTGAGATGTGGCATAATAATCTGGGAAAATACGTCATATGGCTCCCAGACTTTTAGATTACAAAAAAGAACTGTACGAATAGTAAGCAAATCCAAACCACGTGATTCTTGTAAACCTCTCTTTATTAATTTAGGAATTTTACCCATTGCCTCTTCTCTTGATTCAGTGTTTTTGTCAAAAATATCTTGCTCAAGAGTGTGAATATACATTCAGAAAACCCCGATATCTATAACTTTAACACACGACATAGTAATCATATTCATCAGGAGTCGGTATCAACAGCTCACTACAAAAAATTCACTTACAACTCATGCACATTATTTTACAACCCAATGCCAGATGGCATTAAAAAATTGAAATCATACGCAAGTTTGTCCCGAGTAAAATCTTTTCAACTGAGTAACTTGTTTCTATTCAATTAGAGACAATACCGAGCTTCAAAAAGAGAAGCAATATTAATTTTAATTCATATCAATTTTAACAATAATATTTAAAGTATTAAATTTTTGGACTTGGACTGTATAATTCTAAACAAACTGTAAAATGGATTGCATTTCGGCTTCTGAGTCAATGACCTCTATCTCAATTGGGTTTATCGTCCATTATCCCTTATCCATTGAGTAAATGCTGAGATAGCTCCTTGTTTTGCTTCTGAACATAAATGTAACTTCACTATCTGTACTCTGTAAGTCTGTAAGTCTTCTAGAGTTGAGGGGAAAATATAGTTATTCAAATTCTCCTAGTCGATTCCTTCACGACAAACACGATGAAAGGCGAGAGCCCAAATCTAAAGATGATTTGCCTTTGGAAATATGTTTTATTCTCTGGATATATATATATAT